CTCTATAGTTCATTAAGTAAAACAAGGTGATACTGAATAAAACAGGGTATTTTATTAACTTAATTAAATTTAAATAAAATGGTGAATTCATAAATGGACAATCAATTAAATATCAAACTCAGTATATTCAAGGAGCTTTGACTAATGATGGTTAATATTTTTTTTTTTGGGATGAAGCAACAAAAGAACTGCAAATTAGATACAATACAAGTTGAAAAATTAGATTAAATTATTAAATAATATTTTATATATTTATGACAGTTATGCATTTTCAAAACCCAATAAAATTTATTATTGTGTATCCTTTCTTAATTATTTTTAAACCCAACCACAATAAAAAATAAAGAATTTGAAGACTAAATCATCATTTTGAATTTTAAATAATCAAATAAGATTTTGAAGATATCTTTATGGTTTGAGATTCAGAATTATTTTATTTTAAAAAATAAAGGGGACTTTTCGAATTTTACTGCTTCAAGTAATTTTTTCTTTGAACTTAAACAAGTAAATTTAGTCCTTATTCTACCATAACCCATAAAAATTATAATGAAATAATCAACTTCATGATATGAATAATTATAGACATAGTAGATAAACTGAATTGAATATAATTTACACAAAATTCTCATATTTGAATTTATTTGAATATTGTATAATAATTTAATTATTAATTCGTTGTTTCATAACTATTATTTCTAAATATAAAATCAAATATCATAATCGTTCTTAACATTTATGTCGGCTTAGATTTGACTGATATATTTATAAATCTATATTAAATATTTATGAAAATTTTGTATACAATTATGTTTCTACTTCATTGTTAAGAATATAAATTGATCCTGGTCTTCTCCAGGGGGGGTGTGATAATTATATATCTGTATTGCATGATAATATTTATTAGAGCTTAAAGTACTTAAATTTTGGATGTAATTCTGATACACTCCTCTTTGAGAAATTCTATCATCCATTGATGATTAAAATATAAATGTAGATAGACTTAAGTATTTTAAGGATTCTGCTTAATAATTTAATATTTAACCTTAATTATCATTCTATTTATTTTTTTAATACCTTTTTATTACACTAATTAACTAGAATTGTATTACCCTACTTTAAGACCACTCATTACTAAACATTTTAAACTTTAGATACTTTTCTTTTGATTCTCCTTCTCATTTTTTCATTAAGAGTTATTTTTAATAATTGCTTATCTATACTAATGGTTTTTTCAAACTTTTTGAAACTACGAATTACAATTCACAAATTATCTATTTTCTCTCATAAACAGTGCTAATAGTTTATTAAAGTGATGAAATACTTTCTTATTTTTGGGACGAATTTGATTTTCATTCTTGAAATTCATTCGTAACAAGTTGTATATAATTTAGAAATAGATATTTATCAGTCTAACTATTATAAAATAAAAGATGTTTCTATATACAAAAATTACACGAATTTTGAATTTTGTATTGATATAATATGTGATGATCAATCATATAGAAACTCTACTTGAATTTCAAAGTTATTCTAACAGGCTCTGGAGTTATATCGTCAGCTTATTTCTAAATTCCACCTTATTAAATTTTTATTTCAGATTAGTTTTTAATTTTAAAGTTTCCCCATCATATTTCTTACTTTTTGTTCCTTCCTCCATGTCTTTCCCTTTTCCATTTAGTCAAGGGCTATCTTTGCTTTCTTCTTTTAAGGCGCTACAATAGAACTTTTGAGTATTCTAAGCCTTTTTGATCTATAATTTGAATAATTCAAATACTGTAATTTTCTATGATTTATAAAAACAATCTATTTATTATAGATCTTAATATGAAAACCCCTCAACATGTTGAAATTCGGATATTTAAAAAATTAATGGTTTAGTGAAACAAAAAATAATGTATTCACTAACCAATCTAAATTTGGCAGCTTTTAGGTTGTGAGATCTAACACCTATTTAAATAATTTAATTAAATCTATTTTTTTGAAAGTTTCAAAATTTATTGTTCGGAATTGAATGTGTTTTTGCCAAATCTATATACAATTTATGCTTCTTAATTTAAAATACCCTTTACCATCAAATTATTTATAATGTAAGTATTCTAG